AAATGAAATGACTGAATGAAAAGGAACAAGTGAGGTGCAGCTGAAGGGAACCACACCAAGCTCTTGGGTATATACCCACACGACTTGCCATGGTGCTCTAACGCGACTGTCGTGGTCATCAGCACTCGCAAAAACATGAGGTTCTATCTAACCGTCTGAGAAATGCGGATGTATATACCAAAAACCAAGTCCTTCGATTATCCGCAAGTATTTCAAAAATAGTCAGAAGGAAGTTCACTGGGAGTCACATTTCCCACAAGCTCACCTGTATGACGTTGGGACGACCACTTCACGTACTCGGGGTTGAGGTGGCAGATGAATCGCCTTGTCAGTAACAACCTGAACGACAGCAGTTTTATAGAAAAGCCTGAGAACAATTCTAGTTCTTTGAGCCAAAACTCCAACAGGAAGCTCGATTCATTGAACATTTGCACTAAGAAATTTACAGTCGGCAGAAACATCCATTCAAGGAATGTCAGTGGGTGCGCAGAAGAACACTGCGAGACGTCGGGCCATTTCTACCCCGGATTTTGCGCATGGCTTGCTCACTCCGTACAATACGCAATAGTTCCATTTTTTAAATTTTTAATTCAGTATTCTGCGCGGTAGCTTCTTGCTATAGCAATGTAAACGAGTCAATAGTTGATTGACCAGTGGCCCAAGGGTGCTCAATAGTGTTGCTTTCACTCACCTCAAATATAAAGTTTTCCATGCCTGCGTCGTAGCATGTCTTCATATTTGTTGTAATGTTTTCCTGAAATTCGAAGCATTACCCATTAAACGTAAGAACAGTTGTAAGCAGGTACATGAAACATCTGCCAAGCCCTTCTACGCAGCATGATTTATACAACGCGCTAAACTGAGAACAATGCACAATTCAAGTTGTTCTTTGATGGGGCATTTATTCCCGATCATTTCATTGTTTTTATTTACCTGAAGAACACCCGACTTCCAATACCTTCGCAAAACAAAGCTCTACTCTCCCTAAGAGCATTATTTGCGCTATGACTTGACGTCGTTTAATAAGTTATTCAAACAACAATCAGCAGCTTATTCTATGGCATCCACTTTTCGGGAATTTTATCATCTGAAACCATTGAGAAAAGTGACTAAGCAGAGCTCGGCTCAACGTTATACATGTGAGTGCTGAAAGCTATGGTACGTATACCATGAAAAGCTGAGTTGGAATGAAATGGTGCCCCGGTAGCGTAACTGGTAGCGCACTTGCCCGGAAAGCGAGAGGTGCGGGTTCTAGTCCCGCCTGGGGCGAAAGTTTTGTTCACAACCCAGCATTCTTGTGAAACTAAGCAGAGCGTTAAATGCGATTCTCTTGCGTGGTTTCTTCGAGCAGCCCACACTTTTTCCCAAGATAAAATTTATTTTTCCCATAAATTCCATGCATTACGAGGCTATTGCTAGCTTTCTAATCGACTCCAGAGCCCTTTTAGTCAAAATATGGGAATACATTCGAATTATTGCCAGTAAAACCATCTGGAACGTCATCTTTCTTCTCACTAATCGCTTTTCGATATCAAAATGTGGCGCTGTCACGTTTCGCTTGTGCATTCCTCGCAGTATTCCCTGACACCCACTGTCAAACTAATCCGCAAGTCACCTTAGCAATGATGGCGGATGAACTCAAATGTATTTCATTTAGATGCATTAAAATATGACTGAGCACAAGCGCCAAATGCATGAAGGTGTCAATAAGGTGATGAAAAACTTATAAACAGAGCCACATAAACGCTCATGAGCAGGTGTCAATCATGGAACCGTTTGCCACATGTGGTCTAGCCGGGCCCCACCAAGATCAAAAAACAAACCCCTCTCCCATCCATCCTACCCTGCAGCCATTTTGGTGCACATAAGCTTCACATTTCGTCGGGTGCCACTTACTCGTAATGAGAAATGTCCGCCTGCCGCACCGGTTCCTTTCGTGGACATTGCAACAGAATTGCTGTCCGTTGGGGCCATATGAATTAGCAATGGTGCATTTCCAGTAAGACTAGGGTATTTTTAGCGCGGCAAATATTCAGTTTGGGAAACAACAAGATGCGTTTTGACCTATGATAAGCACATGCGAAGGTCGGTCTGTGTTGGAGGCTGAAGCTCTTGCCCTTCAACGGATAACACTAACTGACGGATCCGGGAAAGAATAACAAAGTTGGTATTGGCAAGAGCCGATTCAAAAAACTTAGCCTATTTGTGATTACTAATTAATCTCTTTTTTCCACTAATACTGCTACCACCTGCAGAATCCTGATCTGAAGCTACTGTCATTGAAGTCGAAGTCAACGCTCAGAAGATGGCCGCCCTCCACCTTCGTGTGAGGCCCCCCTTCATCAGCCGTTCTCATCGATTTCCGACACTCCTCTGATGACTCACGCACTCCAGCATTAGTCAAACAGATGGAAAGAGTTCAACAAGTGAACGTTGACAAACAACGCGGTGGCAGTAACAGGCCGATAATTGCACAGGTTACTCATCAGTGTACCATAACAAAGTAATCCCTACGTGGAAGGTATTATATTACACGATAACACATTAATGAAGTCTCCCCGAGCAAGCGATCATTTCCATTTAGAACTTT